GTCAGAATCAGTCATTGCTATGAGCAAGACCCGTGGTCAACTCCCAAAGCTAAAGACAAATTTAACTTTATTCCAACATAACTGTGAAACGAGGAGTCTTTTCATGTTAAAACATGAACATAAAATAAACTGCTTCCTTACATGTCATCATACTGGCGCTCATCTTCCAGGCTCTGCAGCACAGTGTCACCAGTGTCCTCTCTGTCATAGCACCTGATATTGTACATTGCTACATCATATATGCTATTCACAAGGAATGTTCCTATATTGACAAGGAGGCTGGAGAGGAAGATGTCTCTATCAAGCTGAATGACACCAACAGCACTGAGAAGGGTACTGATAAGCAGCATGTTAGCAAACATGTAGTTCAAGGTGCTGTTAAACCACAGAACCACAGCTGTTAAACCACTCAATGAAAGTGAGGCTGACCTAATTAGTTGCTGCTTTGGGGGAGCTCTTCAAAAATCAAAAAAGGTAACTACAAAAGTAGAATTCACACAAGGAATTTATTGCTAACAGTTTGACAAACATCCCAGGGATCTACAGGAAAAAAAGTAGACTTTTTCTCATCAAATTAGACAGAAAATTTGACTCTCATTTCTTGGACAGAATATTCCTTTGTTTGAAACTACTCACAATATGGCTGCCGCTATGGTCCTGTAACAGAAATAGGATACTTCCTCCGCTCGGCTACATAAATCTCCAAAACAGTGTTGGAATCCTTACTTATTTCAACGAAGACTGCTACATCCTGCTGTACATCAAACTTCTGTGATAAACTTTTTGGAAGTTTTAGAAGAAAACTCACTAAACATGGCACTGTCCAGACCAAAAAGGTCTGTAAAAACTGTGAAGAATCCTGACTTTCTATATGACTCTGAGCTATCACCACTAAAATCTCCCTCACAAAATAGTCAAGACACAGCAAAGGAAATGTTTCTAAACCCTGAGAAGCTGTACTTTGATCATCAAACAAGGTTCCAAGCAGGGATAGAAGAAAAGGTCATTTGCAATGCTAAATTTCACTCAAAAAGACTGCACGACTGGAAAACGACATCAAAAGAGTACTTTCAAAGGAAATATGAAAACATGGAACTCTCATCTCCACCAATTCTTCAGGAGACAGATGGAGGTTTTCACCTGAAAATGACCACAAGAGATGATGATGGAGTTGACAGTACATATGCCGTCATGAGTTTCTACGTCAGCAGGGGCATAATTGTTATAAATGGAGCTCAATGTATGAACTGGGTCTCTAATGATTTTCCACGCCTGAGACTACTTATGGAAGAAGAGGCTAAACAAACCAGAAAAAAGAGCATGACAGCAGATGCAGATAACCCCTGTATTCCCACCTGTAGTATTCCTTTTGAAACACCGGTGAGAAGCGATGAAACTACGACCTCTGAGACTGAGCTTTCATTTCATACCAAATCTGAAACTGACCAGCTTCTTCAAGACCTGGATGACTTTGATGACATTAAGTACAATGAAATAGAAAATGTCACCCTGGTTACAAACAGTCCCCATTTGGCAGTAAGGAAAATAAATGAAAATAGCCAGCAAAGGGAAGAAATAAAACGGTTGAATCTACTGCTTGCAAAACTACAAGAAGAAAGGGAGGCTGAAACATTAAAATTGCAAAAGGAAAATGAGACACTCCACAAACAAATCCATGAAATGCAGAGCAAACTGGATACAGTAACTGAAGAAAGGGACATCTTCCGCGCTAGAATTGAAAGCATGGAGACTGAAGTCGAGAATGAAACACGGAAAAAGAGTGAAATAGAAAACCTACAGACTGCTATAGATAACAGGGGAATGGTTCCCATACAGACCTCCAACAGATTTGCCCCCCTCCAACACCAGCAAATGACCTGGAGCTCAATTGCACGTGGAAACCGTCAGCAGCCACAGCAGCCACAAGCCCCTGAACAAGCCCCTGGACCAACCCCACCACAAGGAGCACCCAGCAATGTAAGGACACACTCAAAAATGTTAATTATAGGAGACTCAATGATGCGCAATGTAAGCAACAAAATTCAGGCAGAAAATACTCAGATCCATGCCACAACATATCTCCACTCAGGTGCTACCTTAGAAAAAATTACAAACAGAGTATCTAAATACAAAAAAACCAACGAAATACCCGATCATGTTGTCCTCCATGCAGGAACAAACAATATTGAATTGGACAATATTCAATACATGGTAAACCAAACTTCAAACCTTATACAGGTAACAAAAGAAAAGTATCCTCAATCTCAAATTATTGTCTCTGGAATGTTCCAGAGGGATGACAAGCCCCACCTAAACGGAAAAATCTCTATCATCAACAACATTACCAAAAGCAAATGTGAGGAGGAAGGCATACTATTCATTAACAATACTACCTGGCCACGAACCAGGATTACAAACTATGGTGGCCTTCATCTATCTCGACATGGAGAAACACAATATGTAAAGCATCTGATTACCTCACTGCGTACCCAAGGAAAACACCAAAATTTTCACACAGCTCAGCAGAGGAGAATTCCATAGCCCCATGTATGTCTCATAAATCTCATGAAAAACAGTTATCTAGAGCGCCCAAGGATAGAGACTCTCACGAAGAAACAAACTCACCTTTCGAAGAAATAATCAAAATAAGGAAGAAACACTCCCAAAATTTTCTCATATGTCATATAAACATAAATAGCCTACAACACAAATTCTGGGACCTCAGAGACATATTACAAAGAAATGTGATTGACTGTCTAATAGTCAGTGAAACAAAACTTGATTCATCCTTCCCAGACTCTCAGTTTAAAGTGGAAAACTATAACATGTTCAGAAAGGACAGAAATGCAAATGGAGGTGGACTAATGGTTTATGTACGGTCATCCATTCCAACTCAAAGAGCAACAAATCTAGAATCGAACACCGTGGAACTTATACCTTTAACTGTAAACCTGAAAAATAGCAAATGGTGCTTCCTTGCCACTTATAGACCTCCAAACTCAAATGTTGACTTTTTTCTCCAAATTCTGGGAAAAACTATTGACATGGCTTTATGCAAATATGAAAACATTGAAGTTATTGGTGACCTTAACTGTAATTTAAACACTGAATGTGGAAATGGGAGATTGCTAAAAGAGTTTTGTGACATATATGACTTACAAAATATCATCAAGGTACCCACTTGTTACAAGTCAGCAAATCCAACTTTGATAGATGTTATCCTCAGTAATCAGCCAAACAAACATCTAAAATCAGGAGCCTTCGACTGTGGCCTTAGTGATTTCCACCATATGATATATTCAGTTTTCCGGTCTCATGCACCGAAAGAGCAAGTACGAACTATTAAATATAGAAGCTATAAAAACTTTGATGCCAGTCATTTCCAAAGAGATCTTGAAAATGCTCCTTTTGAGCTGGGCGAAATCTTTGATGACGCTGAGGATGCTTTCAACACTTTCAACAACCTCTTTAGTGACATAGTAGATAAACACTTGCCAATGAAAACCAGAAGGATCAAAGGGAGAAATGCTCCCTTTATGAACAGTGAATACAGAAAGTGTGTCAGTAGAAAACAACAGCTAAGAAATAGGTTTTATAAAAGTAGAACATCACAAAATTGGGAGGACTTCAGACAAATGCGAAACAAATGTGCAAAACTCCGGAGGAACAGTATTAAAAACTATTTTATGGAGAGATGTACAGGAGGTGCAAAAAACCCAAATTTCTGGAAAACAATTAAACCGTTTGTGAGCAAAAAATCAAACTCTGGCTGCAATGACATTGTTCTCATAGAAAATGACACAGTAGTAAATTCACGGACAGAGATTGCCAGCATATTCAATAATCACTTTACTAATGTAGCCTCCCACATTGGGAGAAACAGCTCCTCGGATCCAGTGGAAATCAGCCATTATGAGAATCACTCCAGTATTCGCTACATAAAAGAAAATCAGGCTGAAGAAAAAGATTTTCATTTCATGCCCGTGT